TAGTTGCTCAGTCCACCAGCTTGGCTGCCTCAGCTGGTCATCAGTATATATTTGAATCCTGAAGAAATAGGTTCTAATGCTAGTGAAAGAATGGACTTGCTGGAAAGGGAAAACAAGCAGGAAGAGCAAAGGCTTCGTTCTTCTATGTCCTCATATAGGCTTCCAGCAAAAAGCATAGTCCATACTAGATCCGGATTAAGATATGACTTCTGAGCTCAAAAAACTGGATTAGAAGTAGATCTTCCCACTTAATTCAGTGGAAATCCCTCACATGTATGCCCTTCAGTTTAGATTTTAGTTAAATACAGATGTACTTAAGTTGACAACAAAGAATAGCCATCACAATTCTCTGCCACATCAGGACGAATGTAATTTTCTTGTCTTTTGGGGGAAGACTTATCTTGATCTAGTAATAATTTGCTTATAAGACATTAGTTTTAAAACAGAAAGAAGTCATTTTAGTCATTTCATTTGCTGAAGCAAGGATTCAGACAAATCTGTCCCTTCTCTATTCACTTCCCAGTGATGATCGTGGACCTCAATGGTCACCTTTTCATGATATTTTAATTTGGACTATAAAATAAATGGCCGAGTATCACATGAATTGTGAATGGCAATATGCAGGGTGTGAATCTTGAAGAAAAGTCTTAAATTGAACTTGATTCTGAAGTTTCCTGTCACTATATTTAAATATAGCATCTCATAGTCCACTCACGGTGGGGCTTTCTAAAATAATAGAACTTCACAGAGAAGTTAAAGAATTCATTTGAGAGTAAATTTAGTTAGTGGATAAATTTTCATAAATATCCCATAATCTGGGAAACATAAGCATAATTGTAATATAGACTTTCAAATATTACATTTTGTTTCCCTAGTGTTGATTTCTGTATTTGAATTGCTGTGAGAATTACAGGCAGTAATAATTGGTTAGGCTGTGTCCGGGAGAAAGGTCATCCACAATTTGGGAATTATCTAAAGTATATAAGCCAACTTTCTATTATTTTCAGGGTAATGAAGCCTAAATAAGCCAATGGTGAGCCTCTTATCAGGGATTGTATAGAAGATCATGTAGTTTATTCCCTAACTTATCCTGATGCAATAAGACCTTCTAAAAGCAGAGCGATTGTTTCCTTAGTGTCTAGCAGACTCTTAATTGGAATTACTGTCCCCTTATGATTGAACTCTGACATCTGGGACTCTTGTCCCAGAATAAACATAGTGTTTCTGCAGCTGTGTGTGTTTGTGAGAAGGTCAGACAGTTACTTTCTGTGATAGCAGAAATTGATATGAACTTGCAATCTAAAAGACATTTTGCATGTGGAAAAGCATTTTGTCTAAAAATAAAGGTAGATAATGCTGCAACCTATCAGCACAATTAAGTTAGTGGGTTCTCATCACACTTTACATATAAAGTATAAATTTTGACAGAACACTTGTTTAGTATGTGCAAGGCCTTAAGTTAAATAAATAAGCAAATTTTAAAGGACACGAGAAAAGGGAATAGTGTAATTGTGTGAGAGAATGTGGCTGTGTAATTGGGATTATTTTATAAAGGTTCTCTGGATTATGCTTGTGTGTGCACATATGGATGATTGCAGACCTGAATGTTAGCTATCATATGATATAAAAAGATTATAAGATGGGACATATCTTTTGAAGATATTTAAAAGTGCATATTCCAATGGGCCATTTACTGATATTTTTGTATATACAAAAAATATAAGCTATGATTATTTTTACCCATAATTTTATTACCATTTATTAATTGAAATTCTACACATGCAGATAAAAGGGCACATGCAGATGAGGTTGGAGGACAACTTGTGGTATAGGACGTCCTTTTTTTCACCATGTAGGTCACAGGGGTGAAACTCTGGTCATCAGACTCCAGAGTGAGTAGCATTACATGAGAGCCATATCACTAATCTAAAAAAAAACAGTGTTTGCCTCACATGTAGAGTCAGAGCAAAGATGTGGACTCATTACATGCCATCATTCCTCTTAACTGAAGATTAAAGAGTGAAATCCACTCCACAAATTTGGAGTGAACTCAAGCCAAGGGTAAAGAGAAGATAATGCAAAACAAAATGCTAAATAAATATGTAAAATCTGTTGAAAAAAGAAAGAATATAGATTGTAGATTTAGAAACAGAGTTCAAAAAGTAAAGTGAAGACTAATGAAAACCTAAGAGCTATGAGTTAGACTTGTCTTGCCTAGCATAGCAGATGATTAATTGTAAGAGCACTTTAGCCTCTCCACTCTTTTGTGTAGCCATTTACTGAATAAATGGTCACTGATCTCATAATTCCAGCCCTGGCACATATGCTCATTGCAATTCACACTGATGAATAATGCAGATATAATTACTGTTTACATGGAGACTGTGTTTATTATACTGCAGAGGCTACAGGCATTGAATAACTGAAAAAGCAAATAGTTACAAATGTCACGAAGGCAAACAAATTAAGAGTGAACAATGAGATTTATATTGGTCATCATGCCTGGATTTTCTATGGAAATATTAAGCCAAACATTCACAATAGGTAAACTCAATCTTCAAAACAAATAATTTATAAGAAGGTGCCTATTCAATGCAGAGGAGAGAATATTGGCAGGGCTCTGAGAAAACAATAAACCCCTATTGTTTTTATCTTGTGTCTTGACAAAAAAATAAAAAGGAAGCAAATGGAACTGGGTGTGAGTTAGGAGGGCAGAGTGGTTGGGTATGGTCTTCAGTGACCTTAAATGAGTATTTAGTAAGCTCTTACTTTGTACAAGGCTAGTTTTATGTAAATTGATTTAAAAGTGAGTCAGAGATCACGGCTCTTTGGCTTGTCCATTGTATACAGACTTCAATTGGAAACAACTTAAAAATTAAATCATGGTTTAGAGGCTAATCACTGCATATAAGAAAATAAAGCATGTTCAAAACGGAGGAAGTGGGAGTCTTTGCTTATAAACCTGTATATGAGACAAGTCGCTTTGAGGAAAAAGATTTGAAATGAAGTGCTACTAAAGCAATTACAGATAAAAATATTCTAAAATGAAGCTCTAAGACAAAGTGCACACAAAGGAAGTGAGCACAGCCTTGGTTAAGCCGCATGGCTGGTGTGATGAGAATTCAAGTGACACATAGGATCATATCAAGCATGACCTTCCAAACTAAAGCAAAGTCTTGTGTTTTGTCCTCTGTTTTCCAGATGTACCTGGTGGCCTTGAGAAAGCAGATAGATTGACTTATGTTTTGAAAGAACAGACTGGGTTTCACGATGAAGATGAAATGCAGTAAGTGCTAGTTCCACCAAGTTGTGATGGCAACATAGACCTGGCTGGTAATGCCAGATTATCAGAAGCACTTACATTGGACTTGTATTTTAAAGATAGTGGGAGTAATAGTTTACTATATATTTCTATACTGAGATAGAGGTATTTAGATTGCTGCTTGAGAATTTCATGTATGTATATAATGTAGCATGATTACTCCTTCACCCACACCCACCCCTTTTATCTCCAACTCATCTGGATCAGTTCCTCTCCTCATCCCTTGAAGTCCTCTTCCAAGATGTGTAAGCATTGGATTGAATTATTTAGTGGGACCTGGTGGGGTCATCAATGGTTATATACGTGAAGACCAAGATGCCCCTACTCTGTGGTTATATTATTAGCAAATAGTTCAATAAGAAGATGTCGGGTGTCTGAACTCCTTTTCAATCCTTGATTGACTATGGTCCCATTCATTTTTCCCCTTCTGTGGGTTCTGGGGAGAGACCCCAAAGGTTGTATACAGTCAGCCAGTGCTCTACCACTCAGCTGCATGTACCTTGATTTCTCTATATCATACATGTACAACAAGGGCTGCTTTTAGCAATAGGTTCTTATTATATTGTTCTGGTGGACAACCACGAAAAATAGCAAAAGCCTATGAGACATTTTAAGCCCCCAAATTCAAGGACATATCCAGTACTGGTACTGGGTTCTTTGTTCAATAGCCCATGGCTACTGGGAACAGTTGTTCCTAGCCTTGCAGGGCTATTTCTCTTCAATCTCTTTTTTTCCCTGAAAAATAAATTATACTTTAACTAGTGGTTACAGCATATGTTTTCATAGGACTTTCTCATACTCTTTTCCTCTAACTGTTTCATCCCATCATCTCTCCATTCCCTGATATCTTCCTTGTTTGAAAGTATCCATCTTTTTTGTAATTTTTATTTTTAAATTTAAATTAGAAACAAAGTTGCTTCACATGTCAAACCCAGGTCCCTCTCCCTTTCCCTCCCCTCCTCCCATGCCCTCCCATCAACCCCCCAATACCCACTCATTTCCCCAGGGAGGGTGAGGCCTTTCATGGAGTAAGTATCCATCTATTCCTTTATGCTTTTATATATATATATATATATATATATATATATATATATATATATTACCTATATTCCATTCTCCCTCTCCTTTGTGGAAATCTCCTTCCAAAGTCCTCATTATAGAATTCTGGCATCTATTGGAACTTTAAGTTGAACTGATAAAATCAGTATTCAAGGTTAGCCTCTACATATACAGGAGAACATATGACCTTTGTTCCTCTGAATCTGTTTTACCTCTCAGTGCAATTTTTTCCCAATGATCTCTATTTATGTGCAAATTTCTTGACTTCATTTTTTTCCTTTAGAGCTGAATGAAATTCCATTGTGTATGTGTACCATATTTACATGTGCACTTGTCAGTTGAGGAGAACTATGATGGTTCCATTTCCTAGCTAATATTCTTTAAAGCAAAGGACACAGATGAGGAAGTATCTCTGTAATAGGGTTATGGAGTACTTGTATTCAGCTGTGGAATATCTGGGTCATATGGCAGCTCTAGTTTTAACTTTCTAGTGATCTCCACATTATGTTTCACAGTGACTGGACCAGTTTGCACACCCATCAAGAGTGAGTAAGTGTTCCTTCCCTACATCCTAGACAACATTGGTTGTTTGACTAAGGTGAGATATAATTTCAAGGTAGTTTTAATTTGCAGTTCCTTTTTTTGCTATTGATTCTGAACATTTTAAAGTGTTTACCAGCTATTTGTGGTTCTTCATGTGAAAATTCTTTGTTCATATACAGAGTCTATTTGTTTTCATTTTTCTTGGTATTTTTTGATTTTTTTACATAGACTAGATACTAATCTTCTGCCAGATTTATTTTGAGATATGTGGACAGGGAGATAAGAAGTCAGCCTAAAGCTCCAAGAGGTAGTGACTGGAAAATTATTCAGAAACTCAGAGGAAAAAAATATAAAACATCTATAACATAGCAGAAACTCAGCAGGAGGAACTAAGGAGGTGGTGGAGGCTGAAGTCGAGAAGGGATTGAGAAGTTTCAGGGAGGCAGCTACTGACAGGGATGAGGATGAATAGCTATATAGTCAGTAGTCAGAAAGACATTACATGAATGAAAAAAAATGGTTTATGGAGGATAATTTTGACTGGTTAAGTAGTTACACTAGTAAGTTAGCAATTCCAAGCAAAGTAAATTTTTTATTAACAGGGAAAATCTTTGCTATTGCAGAATAAGTTTTTAATGCCAAGATACTGGTAAATGGTGAAAATAAAGGTTATTTAAATGCTTGTGATTCAGAGCTCCATTATGTACATTCAGCCATCAATGTACATCAGAGAGAGTAATGGATGCTCACTGATGTATCTTAAATAACTTACCATCACAGATATAATTACGGTTGTAAATGAGCAAGAAAGCTATAGAGAACAGTGAGCAAAAGTCTTGTCTATAACTCTCACCAGTTTCAGAATTTATGTTTGTCTCTAAAAATACTAACATTACTATTTTACTTGCAGCTCTTTTGTCTTCTTTAAGAAAACAATCAAAAATTGAAGTTTATCAAGTGAAAGTACAGAAAATATAAAATTATGCAAAGAAATATATAGGTCATAGTTTGGTAACATTTTTCCATCATCTACTTTAACCAGGTGTATTGAGCAACATTAGCATTGTCTTCACCAAGATCTTTATGATTCTAATCAAGCTTTGATGGTAAAGCACAAGCTGGCCTGTTTATGACTTCCCTTCCATCTCAATCTTCTAGTCAAAGATTAATTAATATCACAGAACTTGTAGAACACTTTCCACAAGAGAGCTTTTAGTAGAGTGGTAAAGATAAAAGCTTGACCTTAGAGATCAAAAGAAATTGGAGTAGAGTCAATGATTAGACACATCCTCTGAAGAATGTAACTTTCACTGGGAGCAAAGAGTAGGGGGATCAAAGGATATTTTTATTCTAGTATTTTACTCATTATTTACTTTTTAAAACAGAAGAATAAGGGCATGTTCATGGAAATGATAGTGGAGGTGGGATATTTGGTACAGAAGAGCTTGTCTCAATGGTGTGAAGTCCCAGGGTAGTAAGACTACAGGTGTTCCCATGGGACCGGAGTGAGTTTAAACTTAGCACACCAGTTAATCTTTGATCAAACAAGATGTCATAGAACAGAAAAACAAGTTTGAATTCCATGGATCAGAAATCAGGATGAAGGTTAAAACTGAACAAAAAATGTGATGTTTGTTTTTCAAAATAATGTTAAGGTTTGATTTCTGGTGACCACAAGTTTCAGAAGACATCAATGATTAGAAGACCAAAAAAAAAGCCCCAAAAAACAAAAACTAAAACAAAACCCAAAAATGTTATATTTGAAACAGAGAAAATGAAAATAAAGCATCAGTATTTAGACTGGACATCTACACAACAAATGATAGTTCCAAAGTTGAAAACTGACCACCTTGCACGTAAGACAAAAGTCAAATGATGAGAGGCATAATCTGGGATGCTGAGATGCTGACAAGGTTAATCTCATATCAATTTGAACCTGGTGAGGATGTTTTAACATGGAAGATATACAGTGCTATTAAGGAGCCCTCCCCATATTGGAGTGAAAACCTGAGTCTAGCAAAACAGGAGTACCTGTGTTTCCCAGTCTCAGATCCAGAACCACAGAGGCACGTGAATATAAATGGAGTAGAAACCAGGGTACCTTCCAACATCTTGTGTATGGTGCTAATAATTATTGAGCAGACAATGAGAATTACAGTATAAGGTAGAGTGGTCAGGCCAATTGTATGTTATTTTGGATAGTGGGAAACTTCAAGGGAGAGTCACTACAGATACTAAATATAAATCAAATGGGTCTACATTTCTAGCCCAAATTTTATATCACCAGGTTTCTTTTATTGTATGTGTATTTATGCTTGTTACCTAGAACATCTACAAAGATCAATAATCCTATACAACTTGATCAGAAGTACCAATAATATGCAGAGCAAAAAATTCACAAATATTCACACCTGACCTGACATGCTGCTCATTATTCCTTTCATTTTTATTAATTTATCAAAGCATAGAAATACTTAAATAGATGCATTTGATTGTTTTTTGATATTTGAGACATTAATTCAGACCATTGGTTTCCAAGAATATTTGTAATTTGTATTTTATTCACATTCTCTTTGTATATCCTGGGAAACGTGCATTAGTTTTCTGGGACTTATTGTTTTCAGTTCCAGAAAAGAATGATTTGTTCTATTTTGATTTTAGTTTTCTCCATTCTTTACTTTTGGATACATTATAGTTTTATAATAAGTCACATTGTGGTTTGAAAACAGGCACAGCCTCATTATTGACCTGGAGTGGTGTAATTAAATTTAAAATGTGACTTTGACTCCTTCCCTACCCTGGAGTAAAGTCTCTGTTAAACTTTCTGGTATGACCCTGGAGTAAAGTCTGTTAAACTTTCAAGATTCTGATGTGAGATTTAACACTGAGTTCATGTTATATGTGGGTGTCTGGGGTCCATGTCTTAAGCTTTCTAGGAGAACCGTGCTTGCTAGCTCTTTGCTTTGCGTTGTGTCATTGATGGCAAGTTACCAACTGAACCAAGCAGCAGCGCAGAACTGGACACACACAGGGGATTATCTTTGTTTCAGGAAGACTTTGCTTCTGCAAGAAAACAAAGGTTCGTTTTCACATTTTTTTCTACTTTTGGAATTGGTAAACACATTATTGTTTCAACTCATCTGCCTTATTTTTCTACACATTGAGAATACCTTGCATATTTTAGCAAGCCACTTCTCACTTACTAAAAATGCAGCAAATACTTGCTGTATCCCTCTTCTTTTGTTCTGATAAACCTTCTAGTTAGAGCACCTAATGTAAAAGCATAGAAGGTACCAAGGCACTGTGGACTCTGGAGAGCTGGTGTGTTGGTGACAGGCATCCCTTAGGGACTCAACAGAGCTAGCATGTGGATATGGATATACACCCCCCCTCAGCTTCTTCTCTGACTCACTGTCTTTTTTGTTTTTACATTTTAGTATCTGGCCCATGATGCCTAACCCAGATGGAGCTTTTGTTCTTCTTGTCAGACATAATTTGTCTGCTGGTTTCCTGCTGTTCGATTGCTTAGCCTTGTGTTTGATATTATCCAATTTTGTTCCCTTGTTCACCCACTTGGATAGAATCTAATGCACTGACATTTTAGATCCCCAACCCTCCCAGTTCCTCTATAGCCTGCCTTTCTTGGCAATAGCTCAGTTGGAACGATAATGACTTTACTCTTGGCCTCCTTGCTTGGCAAACTTGAGTTTCCCTTTTTCCATACATGACTTTACTGAAATATGACCCTGGCTGGAGTTGGAGACATTGTGTTTGTAATTATCTGAAGTTTGCCATTGGTAGGGAGGTATGCTATGGCCAACCACAGAGCAGTAGAGATGCCTTCTCAACTCCAGTGAGTTCCCCTCCAGCTGACACTGTTCTTTTCATGGGCCAGACACATCAGGATAGAATCCAATGTCTGCCATCCAAAGTCTGTAAGCACAGCTCCGTGCTATTGTGCAGGCATGTGTGTGTGTGTGTGTGTGTGTGTGTGTGTGTGTGTGAGAGAGAGAGAGAGAGAGAGAGAGAGAGAGAGAGAGAGAGAGAGAGAGAGAGAGTGAAAGAGTTGGGTATGTGGGGTGTGGGTATGTGTAGAAATATTGATTAAGAATTTATAAAATGACTGAAGGGAAAAACAGAGCTCTTGTTTAAATGTTTAAAATATGAGGAGAATTTCTATTTACAGCTTCCCTTCTTTTCTCTTCACACTTCAGTGAAATTGTTTCCTCCAAAGCTACTGATAATATTATTCACCAGTGGCAACTTCATATAAGTTGATGTGGTAAATCAGCAAAGCCAATTTTTTTCCTCTTCATATACCTTCATTATTTGACCTCCTACAAGTTCCTCTAGAAACTCTCCTATGTTTAGACTTTATACAGATTCTCTGAACAGTATCATTCATGTCCTTGTGTTCAAATACAGCTTACTAGAGTTGGAATGTGAAGAGACTTCCCTGTTGTGGAAATATTAGTTTAAGATGTTATAATCATTTCTGATATAGAATATTTGTTTAAAGATGCAAAGATGTGTTGCATTCCTTTATGTTGTAGATTTTTAACTCTGTAAAGCTGTATTACTGTGCCTGTCTAAACCAGCTGATTGGTCTAATACAGAGCTGAACAGTCAATAGCTAGAGGGACAGGCAGGGGCTGTCAGGCAGAGAGAATAAATAGGAAAAAGAGAAGAGGGAGGAAAGAGAAAAGGAGATGTAGAGAAGGACACCAGAGACCAGTCACACTACCAGTCACGGAGTAAGAAGGAAAGAAGGGAGTATAGTAAAAGGCCAGTGACAAAGCTTACATGGGATAATTAAAGTTAAGAAAATCTGGCTAGAAATGAACCAAGCTAAGGTTGGGCATTCATAAGTAAGACTACGGCTCTGTGTATTTATTTGGGAGCCCCCAAATAGTAAAGAGAAAAAGTAACTGCACTTTCCAAAAGGTACAGGCTTGCTCCCCAGCTGGTCGCACTATTTTGAGAAATGCTAGAAACTTTTGTAATTGGAGCCTAGTAGAAAGGCATGTGCAGCTGGTACATTTTTGATGTTGTCTCTTGTCCCTTTCTCTTTCTATGCTTCAAGGACACCATATTGTGAGCTACTCAGCCCCACCACATTTCCATCCTCATAATGGACCAAAACCTTTATGAGTCAAAATATCCCTTGAATTGTACATGTCAGTCAGCATTTTTTGTCACTGTGACAAAAGCCTAACAAGGCTTGCCTTTGCAAATGTGTGCTTTCCCCCACATATTTCCCCATCCATAAGAATCTATGCATTCAACTGAATTCTGAATGTTCCCACCAGAGTGTATTTAAGGCACTTAGAAATTACCTGCTCTTAAAAAGTCTGCTTTTCCGCAGTGTTTCTCATCTCTGTGTCGTGAGTTAATTACCCAAACCAGAAACAATCATCTTTCTTCATAAAGAACTTGTAAGTCAGCCTTCACATTGTACTTTTTCAAAGATACCCACACCACGCTTCCTTTTCTCTAACTCATTTCCAGATCCAGTGCTCCTTCAAGTATGCCACGAATTATGTTTACTCTTTTAGCCCATTTTGCAGTCAAATTAGACTTTCTAAATGATAATGGAAACTATTACTATTTTGTTTAACTTTACCATAGAATTTACTATGTAATCCACAAATGAAAGGCTGTTGCTGGTCTACCGTGCCTTATAGTTTCTATCTAGTAGTTTCAGGCTTGAATTTTCCTTTTTTCTTTCATTTTCCTTTTTGTTTATTCTATGTGTGTTCTACATTATGTATCTTGATCTCATTTATTCCCCCACCTCTTCGAATCTGCTCTCCATCTCTGCACCACTTGGATGAAGCAAAACTAAAAGAAAAACAAGGGCAGAAAAGAAAGAGAAAAAAACAAACAAAAATGGATAATCTGTAGTTCTTTGTGAAATGTATACCTCCTCCTGTAGAAGCCTTTCACTGTGCTGTAGCCTTTGTCTGCCACTCAGTTTTGACTTCAGTGTTGGTGTTTTACATAGGAACACACACATATGCACATGTATGCACACATACGTGCACCAACTTTGTATTTCAATTCTAACTGGCCTTGATTAACTTCTCTGACCTTCCATTTCAAAGTAGGTGTTAATTATTTGGTGTACTGATGTTTGTTTACAGCAGGCCTCCTGGATATGCTAAGGAAGTAAACTGTGACATCTCTTCATCAGTTTTTAAAAAATTCTTTATTTGATTCATTTCACATCACCACCAGAATTTCCCCTCCCTCCTTTTATCCCATCTCACCCATCTCCTTCCACCTTCTCCTCACCTGTTGGAATTCACTCTTCCTTTGTTTTTGTTTAGAAAGGGCAGGCCTCCCATGGCTATCAACAAAGCATGGCATATCAAGTTGAGATATGCACCTCCCCTAGTGTTTAGACTGGACAAGTTTATCCACTGTGAGGAATACGATTCCGACAGCTACCCAATAAACTTTTAAAAATAGCCATGACCTATTCACATGGTGGTCTTCCAACCCCAATATCATCTCAGCTACAAAAATACTCTTTCATTTATTCACCTTTTGTTTGTATTTTCTCTCACAGTTGCAGGTTCTCTGTATATACAACTACTACTGTATTTTTTCTAAGTGAAAAAATTATACTTTTGTAAATAATCAAGATGGATACCTAGGATGAAAGTTAATGCTATGAATATGACCATGAAAAACATGGGTATGCTGGTGTGTCTAGTATATACTGACTTAGGTTCCTTCATATACCTATCCAAAAGGAACCTAGTTGGTGGCTGGAGACATGGGTCTGTGGGTAAGAGCACTGACTTCTTTTCCAGAGGTTCCCAGTTCATTTCCCAGCACCCACATGGCAGCTCACTACTCTCTGTAACTCCAGTACCAGGGGACAGGATGCCCATGACAAAACACCAATAAAAACAAAATAAAAATAAACAAAAAGAAGTCTAGTTGGATTAAAAGATAGTTCTATATTTAGTTGTTGAAAGACATCTGTAATTAGTTTCTTACACTGCAAAGTAAGTGACATTCCCATCAAGAGTGTGTAAATGTTTAGTGCTTGCCCTATAAACTTACATATGTTTTGTTTGGTTGAAGAATAAGACAAAATCAAAATCTAGTTTTCACACTACAGTGCACTGTTTTTCTTAAGTTTAATGGAATTCTATTTGCTAATTCTTGCTATTATTAACTGTAATGAAGTAACTACATTTTTCAAATTTCTTCTTATAGGCTTTGTCTTCTTCATGTGAATATCCACTTTCCATGGTCCTTTGTAAAGAGGTCATCTTTTGCCCAATATGTCTTTTGGCATCTCTGCAGAGAATCAAGTACTCGCTGATGGTTTTGCTTACTGCTGACTCTTCTGTCCTATGCCTTTGGTGTGACTCATCGCTGTTGTGCTGTTTTGTCATCATTTCTCCATAGGGTAATTTGGAAGCCTGACACAGAGTTACATCTGCATTGCTCTTTCTACTCAAGATTCTTGGGCTATGAACAAATGTTTTTATGCTTTTATATAAAAATTTGTGACCTTTACTTCTCTGAAGGATGGTATTGGAATTTTAATGGGCATTGCATTAAATAGTTTTTTAAATAAGTAATGTACACAACATGAATTCTTTTTTCCATGAACATAGGAAATTATTGTTTATTTCTAGTGTATTTAATTTCATTCTTCAGTATTTTAAAAAGTTGATTTCTTGAGGTCTTTAACAACTTCATTATTAAGTTTATTCCTAGTCACTTTTCAAATTCTATTGTAAATAGAAATTGTTTCTCAAGTTTCTTCTTAGAGTGTACATTATCGGTTGTTATTGATTTTTGTATCTTGGTATTTTTCTGGTAGTGTATAGCATGTCTAGAAGCTTTCTACTTGGAGCCTTTAGATTTTTTAAAATATAGATCATCTGGTCTTCAAACAGGAATAATTTGACTTCTTCCTTTCTATTGGTACTTATTATTTCCATAAAATTAATTATTACCATCAGTCTCAACTTGATTTACAGTGTCACTACCCTTATTTGAAAATACAGTTTTGATGCATTTCTTATAAAGAGGTTTTATTAAAAATACTTACATAACTGCAAGGGATGCGATTTATGCAGATGCTGTACTCAAGTTTTCCACTTATGTGCACCTTATTATATTACTTCAAATAGAACAGACTATTCAGAAATGGGCTTTGTTTTTGTGATCTGCAATTACCAGACCACGTTTGTTATTCTTAATAGTTGAATGGCTTTATTTTTTTTCACCTGTTCAGCATGTGGTGTCCATATTTTCCCCATTGAACTGCTGTATACCTGCAAAACATCACACTGAATTCTAAAGATGCCCATTATATTTCATTATTACAAATCCTGCTTTTAGTTTGTTCCAGAAAAAGAAAGTGAACAGAGTAGTAAGGTTTCTAGAGCTTAGAAAACCTAAGCAAACTGAATCATAGCTGTCTAAACCACTATTTACACATAGTGACACAAAAAATTAGCAGCCAGGGCATAGTACTGGTACATTGATATATTGTCCCTGAGGAACGGTAAATAACATGTAGTATTTCAAAAGCCGAGTACTCCAAAAAATCTCGGTGGCCTAATAAGTTCTTTCACATCATTTGGACTTTGTGACTCTGTATTGCTTTGTTGGTGGGGACCAGAAAGCTGTCCTGACACATCTGCTTAACTGCTGCTGCCATCAGCATTCCAAAGGAGTCACAGCAGCCTCCAGACAGACACGTGTCAAGCCCTAGCACAGCAGGTGTGTTCTACTTGACTGGTACCATAACATTCATCAAGAGATGAATGATTAATGATTGAGTTCCCAAATGACTAAAATATGTCTTTTAAATACGCATGTCTGCTAATTTTGGCCATGGAACCTTAGGTGACTACAGCATTTTAATTAACATTCATGAAGACTTATGTAAACTATATTGTTTAGGTCTACTATGCTATATACTACCTCGTTGCATAGTATTGAAACACATAATATGTGCAGTTTTGTTCACTAGCAAAAATTAAATACTTATAATCATGTTTCCATATGTGAACATTTGCAATGCAAGAATAACTATGTAGGGTTTCTGTGTACTTGGCAGAATTTATACAGACACTAATATCTTTAGCTGCCCATGGCAGGGAAACATTACAAAATTTAGATTGTTTCAACACACTCTTTCTATAAGTGTGGTCTATAGGCCATCTACATCAAAACCATCCAATGTATGCCACAAAGCTTAGCTTTCTGGAATCCATCCAATCCTTATTAAATCCTAGGGTTAGACTGTGAAAATCAGCATTTCTTCCCTTGCCAGATTACATGTTAAATGGAGAGCTCTTTTAAAAACCTTGAATTGGATGCTTAGTTAAAATTAGACTTACTTTCCACAAGGTAAAATAGGTCATGATTTGTAAATTTTATTTGTGTGTGCAGAAACTTCAGAGTACAGGAGAAAATTTTCCAAATGGCACATGTATCACTGTTTTGCTTAAGAACAGTAAGTATCTGAAAGAAGAAGGAGAGCGTTGTAGGAATAAAGAAGAATTACCTAGTTATCCTTACAATTTGTTAAATGTTATTATTGATGTTTGAACAAAAGGGGGGTAGGGGACAAGCTGAAATTGACTCTCATTCTGTAATTCAGCCTGCCCTTAAACTCTCAGCCAGTTCTTGCTTCATCCTATGGAGTGCTAAGATAGCAGAGTGAGTCACCATGCCTGGACTTGGTTGTTCTCATTAATGCTTCAATGGCTACAGTGGAATTTTAAGGTTGCTTTTTTCTATTAAAATCAGTTTCTCTTCTCAAATTCATAAATACAAATGATTTGAAAGTATAGAAATGTATACTCAAGCCTGCTTATGGATATATATGTATATATATTGATTCATATTTATGTCTGCATAATCAAGCACACTGACATTTAAATACTCTAGCTAACATGCATGTGAGCATTTAAAATGAAATGTTATGAATGTTTACATATGCATGAATGCTTTTACAGGAAGAAACTCACAAGCATACATAAAATACACAAATCTCAGACATGTACATGTTCTTTTATATAATCCTATAAATATACAGGTAATTTCTGATACACATAATTTTGATTAGATGCTATTGTCCATATTGGAAAATGTAGTATTTGCTTATCATTTACTATTTTCTTTCTGTGGTGACATGTGATATTCCTCACAAGTCTAAAAAGAATTTATACTATTAAGGTGGCCACTCATAGCTTGCCCACTATGTTTATTTGAAACCTCTAATAACTTTAAACTATATATATGTGTGTATGTGTGTGTATTTATGTATGTATATATATCATATACTACATAATATACACATATATGTATAATACATTATAATTATAGACTATATAATGTATACCATACATAATAGCATGCATATATAATATATGTGTAATATATTACAGATTGTAGACCATATATAATTTTTAGACTATAAATATTACATGTAATACATAATAGTATACATACATAATAAATATATACGTATGCATGTTATTTGACTACCCTGATAATAGACTTGAAAAAATAATGGATGTTATTACAAAGAAATATCAAAATAAAATAACAAAGGTCAGTGAATTGGAGTAATAAAGAAATGGTAAGATCAGAAAAGTGGATAATATCACAGCATACAGGATTACAAAGCAAAGCCATCAATTCATGCTGTGTAAAGGCTCACAGAGAATGCTTTTAAGTGGAAACTTGCAGAGTCTGGATTAAACAACTGCATATAACTATGATTTTGATTGGAATCCATTTTCTTTACTTTGGATAATGATGTATGTAATCTGTCATTTTCATGAGTAAATAGCCTCTAATAGAGATCATGCTAAAATCTCTTCCTTCAAGCATGTGTTTATTTACACATCGACATAAGAAACTCTTTACAAGTGTATTCTACTGTGTGAATTTATTTTTCTTTTCCTAAATTCCCCCAGACTAGGGAAGCATAAAGGAAAGAGATGAATTCCTGCTCCTTCTTCTCTCGCATTATGTGAATTCTTAAACTTATTTAAGAATACTCCCATAAAACCTTTGAAATCCTGGTAATAAATTTTGAAATTAGAAATTTAGGATGGCCTATAATCATAACACATTAAACGCTTAGGCAGTAGGATTGCAATAATAAAGTCAGCTTTCGACACATGATCAGGTATTGGTTGGCCTGAGATACATTTTTACTTCACATCTTAGAACTTTTGTCAAAAATATAAAAAATATTAAAAACAAACAAATATAAATGACAGAAAGTAAATCGCATTGTTCTATGATATCATAATGCAAATTTTGATTTGATTAAAGTAACAAAAGACTTTCATTTGTAATTATTTTCCAGAAAATTCTATGACTTCTACAAATTCAAAACCCCTCTTGTACATGTAATTTTTCACTATCATTTAAAATACTTTAAAGACGTCCTATCCATGAAATGTTTAACAAAATAGAAAAAAAGAAATTAAATGTAACTATTGTATTATTTTAAAATAATTTTTATCCTTTAATAGTTTAAATTAACCATATTGAGATAGCTAAAAGAAATTTATTCTTGGTTGCTGCAGCATGTCTTTAAAATCATGGGATCACACACATGTAAATTAATGTAAATGAAGCTGTTAAGTCCATTTATTTCTGCTTGTAAATTACATTTTTGACATTTATATAGTTGGAAGTCATTTGTACACATACTTTCAGAAGTGAAATTGTTCAATTGATTAGTTAAAATTGACAATATTCTCTTGCATTAGTTAACACATAAAAATCTCTAAGACAGGAAATATATTATTTTGAAGTAAATGCAGTCTTCAGATTAATAAAAATTTATACATCTTTAATTAGTTGATTTTACGCTTTTCTTTTAGCACTGAATAGTAGAAGTACATTCATTTACAATATTTAGCTTCTTTTATTTGTCTCCAACTTTATTTTGACTTCATGGTTGTAATTTGTCTTAGGTTCTTTCTCCTTAATATCCCATTTATTCACACCGGGCAGAGGTGGTGCACACCTTTAATCCCAGCACTCGGGAGGCAGAGGCAGGAGGATCTCTGTAAGTTCGAGACCAATCTGGTCTATAAGAGCTAGTTCCACGAGAGACTCCAAAGCCACAGAGAAACCCTGTTTCAATGCACCCCCTAAAATAATGTCCCATTTATTCATTAGATGTTACCTTCCTCCTCAGTCTAGTTTGAGGAAGGATGCTGTCATTTTATCCCAGAGTACTGAAGAATAGTATTCTATTCCAGTTAAAGTTAAGGAAAAAACCAAACAATAAAATGAATTTTCATATTCACTTAAGAGATATTAGTCTCATTCCTAGTGCTGCAACAGAATATCAGCTGCATCCATCCATCCAACCTCTGTCCACATCTCCTTTCGATCACACAGACCATCCCCTCCTAACCATCCTCATTTGTTGCTATATCTCAGCCCCTAACTCCAGCAGGCACATCCTCAAAAATCACAGGCCATACCTGCCAGAAGAAGACAGGTTGCTCACATCCCTTCTCTCTCTGTTCCCCCAGACCCAATTCCTTTTTCTCATCCTCAGCTCTGCAACAAAACATCAATTCA